AACACTGAGGCTGGAGAAGTCACGAAGCCTAGGGTGGGGTTTTCAGCAAGTCATTATCTGCCTTGCCTTATGAACCTGGCATTCTCTATAAACCTAACTCAGCTTCACACTGTGTCCCTGGGCACCCAGCTTGGACTCTATTCCCTTGGAAGGAAGCATTTACATTGCTGACTTGGATGGAAAACAGTTTCCTTCTGCAAGAGAAAAGTCTTGGAAAGTTCCTGCTGGCTAGTGCCTTTTGGGAGACCCTAATAGCCTGGTGACATGATGGCAAAAGAAGTGATAGATCGAAAGGGGACTTATAATTTTCTTTTTTTCCACACCTGGATTCCAAAAGGCAGAGTAGAATTTCCAGCGAGGTCCCAGGCATGTCTTCGTTTCTATGAAGAAAGCTTTTGAAGCTGGAAATGCTCAGTCTGCAAGAAGAATGAGAACAGGAAACTTAGGAAAGCCTTGGAGTCCACAGGGAACTAGGAAGTCACTATGGGACTGTTTAGAACAGGAAGGGCCTTTTGAGAGTCCTGGATGTATACACTTGCAGGCAAGTCTGGAACCAGTGATACACCCAGGGACTTTCCAACTTCTTGAAGTCAGCCAAGGTGCTGCTAGGTTAGAGGTAGTATGGACCTCAGGAGGAAGCAGGATACCACCTCCTAGATCCAGACCAGCAGATCTCTGAGCTCCAAAAAAAAGCTGTATGATTGATATTTTCCTGGTCCTCATTCTTACTTTGTGCCAGGACTCACCCCAACCCAACTGCAAAGATATGCAGGGGCAGCCATGCCTCCCTCACGCTGATCAAAGATGAGCTCTGGCCTGGCCTTTCTCCTGAGTAGGAGGGCAGGAGGGTCATGTGGAGTTGACTTCATCTCCCTGACCCTGGGTGCTACTTGCAGTTCTGACAAGAGTCTCATATGGGGGCAGGGGATTTAGCTCATTGGTTCAGCACCTGCCTCACAAGCACAAGGACCCCAGTTTGATCCCGGTACAAAAAAACAACAAAAAACCCAATGCTGAAGAGTCTCACATGAGGCTGAACACTCACCTCTGGAGCTTCCTGAGGGCTGCTCTCCGCTGTGACCCTTTGCCAGTCTGGTGAACCTGCCTTTAGTGTGCCAGTATCACATTCATTGAGCAAATATTTGGTTTTGTTCCATGCCAGGTGTAGCAAGAGACACTCCTCCCACCTGCAGACTGACCCATATGTTGGGACATAAATTGTGAAGTAGATCACTAGTCATTCTAACAAAAGCCACTGCTGCAGCAGCTGCCAGCTCCCCTGCATATTTCGGGGGATCTAGGGCTAGTGCTTGGTGATCCAACTAAGAAACCGTTGCTTTGGAGGCACCCAAAGTAAGGGAAAGAGTGAGGTGGAACTACATTGATGGGCCCTGGATTCCCTCACGAAACAGCTCGGTCTCTGGGCACTTGACACCTCTCTAACTGGACCCTAAGTCTAATTCCGTGACGAGCCTAGGTTGTTGTTTTTCCATAAACTGCCTTTATTTAAAAATTTTGAGAATTTTTATCAGTACTGATTTGCAGGACATGATTACATTCATCATGGGGAGATAGTACATGTACATAACACATTTTAATTCTTCTTACTTTCCCTTCCCCTCCTCTCTTTCCTCCTTCCCTCCATCTCTTGGAAGCCTTCCTATCTTTCCAGAATGGAAAAGATGTTTTTGGAGGAATGAAGCTGAATATTTTGCAATAAAATGGAGCAGCACTGGTAAATAGGCAGTGCGATGAAAACATAAAGTGAATGTCTGAACTTGAACTGTAGTATAGTAAAAGACACATTGCTGTTAATCCTCCTCAAAATACTTCCCTTTGCTTCAAACACGCATCCCATCATTTTTGGTACTTCCTGAAGCAGTTCTTGAAGTCTTTTGTGTCTTTATGAGATGTGATCAAATGCATAGTGACTGCTGCTGCCTCGTGCCATCCATGAAGGCAGATTCATTAAAACATTATGGTGTGTCCTCATCTGCTTTACTCTCTGGACCTTGCAACTTTGGGCTCTTCTCCAAAGTCAAAATGACAAGGGAAAGGCAAACGTTTTGAATAATTCAGGACATCAAGGCAGCCACAACAGCACAACTAAGGACAGTCACAAAAGAGGACTTCAGAACTGCTTCAGAAAGTGGCAAGAGGGCCAGGGATTTACTCAGTGGCACGGTGCCTGCCTCAGAAGTGCAAGGTCCTCAGTTCAACCCCTGGTGCTACAAAAAGAAAACCAAAAAAGTGGCAACAATGCTAAGTGTATTCAAAAAGAGGGAGTATTTTGAAAGGATTAATGGCAGTGTGTCTTTCACTGTAATAAAATTTTAAAACAAATATTCACCAAGGGCCGTGAATTTAGCTCGGTGGTTCCACCGCCTGCCTCTCAAGCACAAGGTCCTGAGTTCGATCCCTG